CCCATTTGGGCGACTGTCCACATTCTTCTGTTGAACAGAGATGACTAAATTGTCCTTGGAAAGAAATATCGCACCAGAAGTCCCACCGTCACTAACTTCCACTGAAATACGCAACCACCCGCTTTCCATCTTCGGGATATGAAGTATACTTCGAAGCTGTTGGTAGACTACCTCCAGGAGAACACCATTTCTACAGACTGGATGCGCATTGGTTCTGCCCAAAGTCATCACGAAATTGGACTTCCCTTCTGACCCCTAGCCAATTTCAATTGTTTTTTCTGATCAGTTCCATTGGGAAGACACGAAACTCTCCTTCTGAAACAGTGCACATCGCCGTCCCTAGCACTCCTTGTGAGGCATGGTCGACAAACAAGTTATCACCTCTCGGAATGTCCTCAAGCATCCTCCCCAAGGGAAGTACCGTCTAGGCTAAATCACTGTGAAAAAACAGCATTTTATATAAAGCTGGCCCGAGCATGAGTAAACTCTGTGGCTCTTTTAAAAGCAAAGAGCACTGTACATTTCCTAGGCATGTAAGATAAACACACCGATCACCAAAGAATTACGCGCCACTGAGAAAGCCTCACATGATGTCTTTTTTGATGGGAAGCGGTTTCTAAGCATCCTAGCATAGTTTAGCATACCAATCAAAACTCTTTCCAACAACGACACGCCCACAAATGGCCGCACCGATCAGCTGTTTTCGAGAAGAATATGCGGCTGAGTGGCCCTTCTATACTTCTTCAGAGTTCTTCGGATAACGGAAGCAATCTTTTCTTTGGCAGAGTGCGTTTTCTTGCAAGCAGTGCCCGTTTTGAAATTTTAGGCTTTTTCAACTTTTCTGGTTTTTCACTTGAATCCGCCAATCTTCAACAGCCGCTTTGTGAAAATTTCCCCTGTATGTCCAAACTTCTATTAAGGACCCCTGCTGATATACATAGACGTGAAGTTTGTTGCCATTCATATTTCCCGTGCAATCGCCATGATTTCTTTCATAGTTCTTGACTAGCGGTGAATGATTTCATTGTCAGACCTAGACTCTTACACTTCCTGATTGGAGCGGTTAATAACGGCGTTTCAATCCGTTTCGTTCCGTTTTCGCCTTACCGTCGTACTACAGAGTGTCTCTGCTCCCTCTTCTGCAGAGAAGCAATTTATGGTGCCCACTGCTTTCAACTGATCATTCAAACCTTTGACGAAATTTAGCCACAGGAACATTTCGGTTGGGTGCAGAAATAAGAGATAAAGTTCACTAGGTCTTAAATGATGACCTGCTTACGAAAATAATATTGAGACCACACCAATGGTTGAGAGATAGGCGGACAAATCACCTTGATACACTCAGTGTTTCAGCATCGTTCATGTGAACTAATTACGTTCTTTCCAGATTTCGAATTGGCTACGTTAATTCTGCTGTCATGTGCAATAGCGAGCAGTCTGTTGGCAATTTGCTTTGCCATTTGCACGATCTTCACTCCATTTGGAGCACTCGCTCACTGCGTCATGCTGCTCACTGCAAGTATGTTACAGAGAGTAATTAAATAAGCATGAAACGAAAGAGAATAGCTCCTTCTAAGGGTGAAGGTTGTTCTGTGAAGGAAGCGATCACACCATGTTTAAAGAGGTGTTAAATTAGAGGGAGTTTTTCTGCATGACCAAGTTTAGGTCCTATCTCCTCGTCTTAGAGTATCTCCTCGTCTTACAGCATTATAATGTTCGGGCGCCATAATCCTCTCGCCCCGGTTCTATACACAGCTGCAGAAAACCTGGAACAAAGCACGAAATCGTGTTCCGAACAATTCTGAAGCTCTTGTTCAACACCTATACCGTGAAGGTTGAGCAGATAGGTAGATAGGTAGGGAATTCAATAAAAAATCTATTCGGCTCTCTGAATTTGATGTTTACTACTGGACACGATAATAGCCTGCATCATCTGTGAAATCGACTCCACAGGAGCTCCAAGCGTATCCACGAATATCCAACTCCGAGTTCCCTGAAACGCATGGAACTGCCCATCGGTATTGGTGGTCTTCGTCTCTTTCATGCTTCAAGTCATGTCAAGGATGTGTGATGGGGTTGAGGTGAAGGCTTTCACTCGGTTTGTCGTCCCAATGCTGACCTTGGGTGCCGGAGCTAAATCACACATACTTCTATGTTTGCTTGAGGTCGTTTTTACTGATCTGAAAACAGTTCTTCCAGGCATACCTTCCACGATATTTTGGTGCACAAATCAAGAAAAACCAATAATTTGATAGAAAATTCCGATTTTTTTTTGCTTGTTCCAGGTTTTTTTTCCGCAGCTGTATGTAATAGTTGACTGATTGGATCTCACTGAATGCTCTGAAATTCGTCAACTATATGGATTTAGAACAGAAATCCACGCTGTTGGATTGTTGGGGTGAGGGGGGCGGGGTGGTACTTCGCTGGTTACCATCAATTATGTCCTGTGTAGACCTGTGATTTCCTGTGAAGCAATGTAAAGTAATGACAGCATGCTCTCCGTCGTTTAGAAGGAGAAATGCCCCTCCCCCCCTTTCTACCCCTAAGCTCAACACATCTCCCACGCTTGCTACTTCAGACCAATGCTCATGGGAAGCTCAGAAACACCAACGACGTCATGTGGCCCTAATAACAGCCAAATTATTCATTTTCATGTTTCCCCAGCCAGTACTATCCCTAGCAATTTCAGCGATTTGTTCACTTTCCGCTTTCATCATCTACACCTATTTCAACGAACTGAAGGATAATCAGAACGAAACCCTGAATGGAAATATTACTCGGGTACGTCGTCCGCTGTCTAGGCATCTATCCACAAATCAAAGAGATCGTATCGTTTCAGTACCACTTCGGCTGGGCGTACTATTGGTGCGGAGGTGCAGCCGCCTGTCTATCAGCTGCATTCATCTGCAGTCTATTCGCTTCAACTTGTGTGTTGTTGCACAAGCAACAGAAGAACAAAGTCGACACCATCGTTCTGTGATCATTCGCTTACATACGAAC